CAGTCAGGAAGGAAAGGGGGAGTTGGATGGGGTGGGGGGAGCGGTGGGGGACAGTTAGGGAAAGAGGTTGTTGGACGGGGCAGGGTTCCCAGAGGGCAGTCAGGAAGGGGGGGGGGTTGGGATGGGACGCCAGGGGGCAGGGAGTCTGGGGGCGGTCAGGGGACAGACAGCAGGAGTGGTGGATGGGGCAGGAGTCCCCGGGGGGGGGGGGGGGGGTTGAGGCGCGTCAGGGGGCGAGAAGCAGGTAGGTCGGATAGGGGCGGGGGCCGAGCCACACCTGGCTGTTTGGGGAGACACAGCCTCCCCTAACTGGCCCTCCATACAATTTCTGAAACCCGATACGGCCCTCAGGCTAAAAAGTTTGCCCGCCCCTGTGCTATATACAGAACATTTACAGCCAACCAAGTGCTTCTACATTCTTTGTAAAAGCACTAATATACTCTCAAATACAGCTTAAAAGATGGCTTTTAGTTTTTCTGCAAGTCACTGTGCAAGTACTATTGCCTTAATACTGCACACCAAACATATTAAGCTTACCTACCTAAATAAGGAATACAAGGAGTCATCTTCAAGCTGTTAATATAGTCTCTAAGTCGTTTGTAATTATCTTCTTTACTCATAACATACTCCAACTTTTCAAAGGTAGTTTTGTCTTTTCGGCTCAATAACTAGAAAAGAAAGACCAAGATAGAAGGGTTGCAGTTCATTTAGGGTTGAGATGAATTTTGCACTTAAAGCAGGATTCAACCAGTTTGTTATATGTGAAGAATACTGAGTATCATCCCAAAAATTACCGCTCTTACTCTTCGAGTATAGAATACATTTTCTCAGAATTTACAAGAAAATTGGTTAGTTTAGGAGTTAAAATTAATTTTTAAATGGATCCTTTAAGAAATTTAGCACCATGTCAAACCTTTTTTTTGGCCTTGAATTATCTTAATAATGCAGACTATTAAAACGTCTATATCAGTTAAAACTCAATGAACTCTCATGCACTGGTTACATTTTTTTAAAGGATTAATTTTTTTTTTACTGTTATTCTCCATTATTGAAAGTGTCTTCTTCAACAGGTATGCACAAATAATGTTCCAATACAAAGAATTCCATGAAGATCTATCCTCTTTCAAAATGGCCACTATCTTCCATTGCTCTCAATAGGAGTGAAGCTAAAAGTCCCCTTAGCAGAAAATGGGAGTGAAGCTAAGTTGATTGCAGGAAATATGGTTGCCCTAACAGCATAGGTCCGTAACAAAGCCCTATTTCACAACCATGCCATTTTGGTTGAGCTATTGATAGTCTTATGGTTTCTTTATCTTGAAACTTCATGACCTGTAAATTTTCCCAATAAGTTTATTTTCCAGTGAAAGAAATAAGAGCATTAAAATCTAGTGAAAATTTTAAAGTGCACTATAATTCTTTAAAATCAATGTATTGCCTGATGCAGACATACTGGTATTCGCATACAAAAATTCTGTTTAGTAAGAGAAAGATGCAATAGGGGCTTGGATCTGCCTTCTCCACAGAAAAGTACAATGGTCTGAGCACAAACCACCTGTGTATATTGTTCTGTCAGCAAAAAGGCAGTTGTATTGGCTCTTTTTGGTCACAGGATCATCAGTTATAACAGAACTACCATTGAGTAGCCACATTAAAGGTTTTATTTCATTTTGGGGCCAAAATTTAAGGAAATGTAGAAAAATGTTTAGATTGACCATTTTGGCAGGAGACTAGGTGTTCAAGTCTCTCAACCAAAGTTTTAGCTATATGTGAAGATGAACAGTAATTAGTAGTTAAAAAAGTGTAATGAGATATCCTAGGTGTGTAGGTACATAACCTTGAAATTTTACACCGCCACTATAACCAAAATCTACCTGGGTTTCCATGACAACGATGGAACAAATCTATGAACTTCTGCAAATATATAATTGCATTTATTTTACACCTTTTGCCTTTCTTGCCTATATTTTCTGCCCACAAACTTCACTAGGATGCAGCAAATATTACACCAGCTTTCAGAGAGATGCCATTTTTAAAGGGAGAGAATTGTCATCCAGAAAATTGTGTTCCTTGAAGTTCTGGCCCTACGCCCATCTATGAAACAGTTGTGTCTTACATCTACTAAGAGAGGTTGCTAGGTTTGGGCTATTGCAGATTTCCAGGGAAAGATACAGAGCTGAGGACAGCCATGAGGATAATGGCTTGTTGGGAACTCATGTAATAGTTTAAACATCTCTGCAGAGAGGAGACTGTGGCAGAGCATAGAGGGAAAAGCAGTCTCTTAGGTAGCTGGAGCTTAAGTCTAGACAATTTAGATGCCATGATCACAGCCATGTTTTCAAAATACTTCATTTTTCAAACCAGCATCATCTCCATCTTGTCCATATTTAGTTGGAGGTCTCACCATTTGAGTTAGCAGCACCTCATGCTCAATAACACTGAAGACTTCTGTATATTTTAAATGTATTGGGCTACTGTTAGAGCTCAAAGTATTAGCAAGGATGTCTGATTTTTCCACTATTCTCAGGCTCCAACATTTGGGACATGAAGTTTACCTTTTAGGTTTGTCTTCTCAAAATGGGTATTTGCAGCATGATTAGTCTAGACGAATTCATGTCTTTTCACCATGTGTAAGGACCTGCGTTTCTGGTTTATATTTTTTCTAAAGTTTCCAGGAAATGTATCAGTATTTATTTCAAACATTTAAAAAGGGTGAAAAATCAGTGCAAAAATTTACCTGGAAAACTGTGAAGTTAATATCAGGGTTAATATTGGAGGACAGAACAACAGGGGAGGGAAGGAATCAACAAATAGAAAAAAAAATTGTTTATGGAACAAACTATTGGTGATTTGTGCAGTTATGCTTGACATAAGGGGCTTCATCAGTGTGAATTCCAAAACTCCAGGGTAGCAAAGGCTTGCAGCAGTTTTTTCAATACTCTCAGATTGCAAAATCATCATCTTTCCTGTGTCAGAGGTGGGATACAGGGGCTAGGAGCCAAGAGAGCAGATCCTAGTTCCTGAGATACAGTCCCGCCATCAGCAAGGGTGCTGCCACTATCTTCCTCGCCGCAACATGCCCACCTCCACTTATCTCCCTGGGGCTGCACAGGAATCAGAGTGACCTGTTCCCAGCCTGGGAACAAGCTCTGGTTGGTGAAGCAGACAGAGCTCTGTGCCCTGGGGTTCCTTTCCATGGAGTGTTATATCTCTGAGCTCAACTACTCACAGGTGTTATCATGGGGGTGGGAAGAGGATGCTCAGAGGGGAGACGGTGTGCCTGATACAGTGACAGCAAGCAGGGGGTGGGGGAGGAGGATTGTTCCCAATGATTGTTCAGAACTGCCTTTTTTGAGGAGTTTTGTGGGGAAGAGGAGACAAGTAATGTTGCAGGGGGAGATCCTCAGAATCTATAAGGAAGGTCCCCACTCTACAATTTTAAGACCCCATATGTTTGAAGAAATACCAACACACATGAAGAAAAAAATTACTTACCTTACAGTAACTTGTTCTTTGAGTGATTGTGCACATATACATTCCACTGTAGGTGATGCAGTTAGCAGTTCCCTTATAGGACCAGGAACTTTGGCTCATCCAAACAGAGACTGTAATACCCGATTTGCCAAAGCTGACTTCATTGTGAGAGGGATGAGTGATGGCATAAAGAGTGGAAAGTACATGCAGATGACTACATGTACAGTATGCATACATTAGTTATTGGAACATTGCTCAGGAAAGCTGATGAGGTGGAGTAAGTTGCTATTCTTGATGGAGAAGAGAAGAGACTTTAGCAAGATTGTAAAAAAATTTTAAACAGACAGAACCCAAATGTGAGATGCATTGAGATGATACTGACTGACCTTTAATTATTTCAGTATAGTTTACAAAGTAGTTC